AGATGGATAGAGAAGAGAGAAATAGAGAAAGAGAGATTGAGAATAGAACGATTGCTATAGTGAGAAAGTTGAATTAGAGATTAAGGACTAGTTTGGTGCGATGGAATAAAATACAAAGAAAGTAGAATGGAATGGTTTTTATTTCATTCTTGTGTTTGGTGTCCAATTTTAAACTTGGAATCGTCATTCTCCAACATTCTTGGAGAATGATCATTCCATTAAAATTGTTCCACCTTTTCACAAAAAGAATGACCATTCCATTCCTATTTTAAAAAAATACAAACTAAATTTTTTTTAAAATAAAACCTAACAAATTACAAACCCACGCCAACATCATTATCTCTTTTATCAAACCCACCACCGGTGTCATCATCTCCTCTATTAGACCCACCACCGGCATCATCATTCTTTCCAACTCAACCCAACCCAACCCGACCCAACTCATTGTCTAACAAACATAATATTGATCTTGAACTTCAAAGTGATGGTCCAAGACACATTAAAAAATCAAAAGTAGATCTGAGTGAAGCAAACAGTGAACAGGACCAAAAAGCACTGAAGCTTTTTTGTGATTCTCTCATTGATTTTGTGAAAGAATTGCTAAAACCATTCTTTCCAAATCGGATCCGTTCTCACCCTTCTTTGATCGCATTGAAGTTTGTAAATTGGATCACCATTCTTTCCAAATCGAATCTTTCCAAAAGCACTGAAGTTTGTAACGGAGCTTGGATCACCATCGCTGTTCGTCGCCGCCGATCAAATCGGATCCGTCCTCACCCTTGTTCGATCGCTTCCTTCTCCCCATTGCCTTTTCTCGCCCTAATCTCCAACACCTCACTTTCTTTGTGATATTTGGACAAATTCATGGCCATTTTGTGCACACTTCACTCGAGTATTCAACCGGATAATATATAAGGTCATTTTTCTAATTTTTTTCATTTCAAACTTTTTTTTTTTTTTTTTGCCTTATTGAAAAGCAGAACGGAAAAAGTACAAGTAAATAATAAATAATGATAAAACATTTGTTACATTTATGATAACTATTGTTTGGGGGCCATTGCTTTGTGAATTTGCTGTAAGATTTTATTGTCTAGTAAAATGTTGGTAACAGTATTCATTTTATTGCAGTACCAACTTTTGTATCTTAATTGTACTTTCATATCTTAATTTCATATTAGATGAATGGTTCAAGTATCTACATGAGTAAGTGAGTGTGTTTCTCTTGTCAAAAAAATGAAAAATAAAAAGTTATTTTGCTCTAGTAAGACCAATGTTGAGGCAAGTATATTATGAGCCTCGATTTGCTTGGAAGGATGTATCATTGCTCTAAATGGAATGATACCAATCACAATTGTTTTCCATGAGTGTAGCATTACTAAAAATGTAGTTCACTAATATCTTTACGTGTTTAAAATGGAAAAATGATCTCTGATATAACAAGATGAACTGCTGATATTAAGAAATTCAACTAAATGTCTTACTTCAAGAATGAGAATTTTATTAGATGTTGATAATGAATCAGTTTTATATTCAACAAAGAATTGTAGAACATGGAATCTGATAGCGGAGTAGAACATTTTTCTATTTAATATCGATGAAAAGCTTGCTCACCACTCTGATTTGCCTCGTGAGCGTATCTTCAAAGTTCATGGAAAACTACGTAAGACAAATTCAGATGCATATAAACCAGAGGTTCTTGCAATTGGTCCTTACCACCGAGAAAAACCTAATCTCCAAGGGATGGAAGTGCACTTGAAGTGCTCACACAAGGTTAAAATAGATGAACATGACCCTCTTTTAGAACACATTGGACACGCAATTGCTTAATGCTTGATTTGATTTTATTCGAAAATCAGCTTCCTTTTTTCGTTGTTCTCAAATTATATTACTTAAAAATTGAGGGTTCAAAATCAATCAAGTTCATTCACATTGCTTTGGTTTTCTTTAAGCCTTTATTGATAGGAAATCTGTTCCCAACGACCAACATTACTCGGCTTATTACACAGTAGTGCAGCACGCCCTCCATTTGCACGGATTGTCATAAGTCCAACCGTTATGACAGTCTCGGTTTAACCCCCTTGTGGGCTGTATCCGTTATGGGCTGTTTTGCATTATGGGTTCGGTCCTTTATGGAGTCTGCATCCTAGTATTGTTTTGTATTTTCAACCTATGCACCTCATATGGGCTTGGACGGACTTTGTCCGTCGCCCTCATACATGCACGGACATTTTTAACTTCACATAAACGAAAAATAATAATAATTAGAATAAAATAAGTCACATAATGCAAGAGTAGAAACGAAAATAAATTCAAAAGTTAGAGTGTGAGACCGATAAAATTATATCATAAATAGTAAGAATAAGCAAGCACACAAAGCGTAAGAGCGAAAGCGTACTCGAAATGTAAGACTGACACTTATTAAAAATAATTGTGTGACTTAAGGAGTAAATATAACCGAACAACCAAGTATGGATACGTGTCCCTGAGCTTTGAGATTAATAGACAAGAAGCACGTCACCGACCACGTTCTTTTGTGTTTTGGGCCTGACCTTGACATTTCTGTATATTTATATTATAACTTAAAAAAAATAAAAAAAATAAAAAAAAAAAAAGCCTAACAAACAAATATTTGTTGTTTAGCTGTGTACGTGTCTCACTGTGAGTCTTGAGATGCACAAGCTGATGTGATAAGAAATACAGCAGGACCACATGCTTTTGTATTTTGGGCCCATGCGTTTGACATTTCTCAATATTTATACTACTCTATTGCCACTACTTTATTAACTTTCAAAATAATAATAATAATAATAAATTATCTAACAACCTAATATTTGTTATGTAGTGGTACCATGTCTCACCATAAGTTTTGAAATTGGGCCCATGCGTTTGACATATTTCAATATTTATTCTACTCCATTACCACCGCTTTAACTTTCAAAAATAATAATAATGTCTAACAAACTAATATTTGTTGTGTAGCGGTACCATGTCTTACCATGAGTTTTGAAAAACATAAATGCATGCGACAAGAAACACATCAGGGCCACACACCTACAACTTCCAAGATAAAAGAAAAATGTTATAGTTGAATATATATCTATATTATTTTAAAAGTGTAAAGAATTTTTTAACATTTACTATTATTTTTTCATTTCATATGTACACTTTAATTTATTACTTTAATTAATATATACACATACAATAATTAGTTGATGGTATAAATTTTAATTAATTAGTATTAGACATTAATAACAAATAATCATAAATCCCTATATCTTAAAACTTTCATTAATTTCACATCTTTATAACGCATTAATATATATACTTAGATACACATATCTCTGTTTATAATATCAAACCTTATTGAGATTAAGTCTAACGTCCAAATCATTTAACCATGACCTAAGTTGCAACTCTGATCAATAGGCAAAGCGTAGAAACTACTTTCTCTCTCTTAACCTTTTGCACACATAAAAATTTATACGTATTGTTTCATTAATTGGGCCAATGCGATTTGACATTTTTCAATATTTATACTACTCCATTACCATTGCTTTAACTTTTAAAAATAATAATAATAATAATAATAATAATAAAATGTCTAACAACCTAATATTTGTTGTGTAGCGGTCCCATGTCTCACCATGAGTTTTGACAAGAAACATATGTTCATGTGACAAGAAAACACATGAGGACCACACCTACAACTTCAAAAATAAAGAAAAATGTTATAATTGATATATATCTATACCATTTTTAAAGTGTAAAAAAAAAAAAAAAAATTAACATTTTTTATTTTTTTTTCATTTGATATATATATTTTAATTTATTACTTTCATTAATATTACATAATGGTTCATATTCATAACTCTTATCTCTCCATTACTAAATTTTCATTATTTTTCTTAAAATGTAAGTTATTCTTAGCATTTTTTAATTTTTTTTTCATTTGATATATATACTTTAATTTATTTCTTTTATTAATTTACACACATACAATAATTAGCTTATGGTTCATATTCATAGCTCCTATATCTCCATTACTAAAATTTCATTATTAGTAAAGTTATAAACATTTGGTAATTAATCCTATATTTTTTAAACTATTTATTTTTTAATTTAAAATATGAAATTTGAAGACGTCACAACCCACAAGTGACCTCCCAATTTAATGTTTCAGTTTTGACACCACATGACTTTAGTAAGCTAGTTTTTTCACATTATTTTTTTATTTTTATTTTTTACAAGTTAAGAAATGTTAGAAGTTGAATTAATAGATAGAATTGTCAATTTAATTCCTCTAAATGGATGACAACACAAGCACAATTTGCTCTAACCAAATGTTAGTTTTGGATCTGAATATTATAGAGAGTATAAGGTTTTGGGTCTCAACGATGATCTTGAAAAGGGTTATGTAATCCTTTTACATTAGTAACAATAGTGCAACGAGTCTTCTACAAATTCCCTTCCGTAATGAAAACTTAAAATATTAATGGTTAAGTTTAAATTTTATCAAATCATAATTCAACAACGGTTACAATATATATATTTTTTTGTCGATCTACAAATGTTGACCTAACAATAATATTCATCTATTCTCGATAATTACATTTGAACCAAATATATATATATATATATATATATTAAAATTTCCATCAAGAACCTCTGATCCCCTTTCCACACACAGTTTGGGTAATCAAAATAATTAATTGAAGTCACAAAACGAACTTCCACTGCTTTTATAATTCTTGCAGTGATAGATTTAATCACAAATTCGTTAATCCTGATTGGCAAATCCAATACCCAGTGTGATATATATTTTTTATTTTTTAATGTTTCACAAAGATCTAAGTTAAAGTTGAGGTCAAGTTCATTTCGTGTAAAATAATTTTTAAAAATTAATGGACAAATTATTTTTGTTAAGTTTTAATTTTGTTTCTTTATAAATATTTTATGACAACTAAATATCAAAAAATATATTTTTTAAAAATATTTTCTTTTTAAAAAAGTTATCTACCAAACCAATGTTTGTGCAAGTTAGTTAAAAAATAAAATAAAATAAATAAAAAATTTAAAGTATTAACTCTAGTCAATTGTACGAAAACGCTTCACTGCTTCACCTAACTCTGTTAATGTCACCGCTCATTTTTGGCACTCAAAATAATTGAATTGTACGAAGATTCTGCTTTATATAAAGGTGAGATTTGGATCGGGTGAGTCAGATATCGAGTTTGGCGTGGATGAATACAGAGCTTTGCATCCTGTAAGTTCAATATTCTTTTCATTTATATTAACACTTCTTTTGTTCTTTACCCGTTTGCATAATCCTCTTTCTGAACTTACCAGCTACTCAGCGTAGACGCGCACACATAACACACAACATTAACGTTGTCTTTAATATTTTATTGTCTGTGCCTGTATTGTGTTATATAAATAAAAGTATTTTATTTAGTATTTTATTTTAGTAGTATTTATCACTAATTATTAACATCTAATCAATTGATAATACCACGTCACTAATACAATTAACATAATTAAATTTTTCTCTACCACCACAACTCCACAAAACCAAAAATTCACTTCATATGGGGCAATAATTAATAATAATATAATTAACTAAAAAAATCATTAATAATAACATTGTAAGAAAATTTAAATCGGAATAAACACATAACAAATGAGGGATTTTTTTAAAAATTTTAATTTTTAAACATTTTGTGAGACTCATTTGGCAAGGAAAAAAATGAATATTTTTTATTTTTTTAAAATTTTGTTAGGTAGTGAGTTAGAAAATGAGGGGTCTCCACCACTGCCACGCAAATCATCAAGGACCATTACCTAACAGATGAAATTATCAAAATGGCCTTACTTTTTTTATAATACATTTAAAGGTTAAATTCACAAAAAGCCAACTTGTACTATCAAACCACCCCTCTATTTTACACAAATGCAATTTTGTATTTAACTAGGTTATTAATATTTAAAATTTCATAAATTACTATTTATTCTTAGGGTAAATTGCCCCGACCTTACATGAGATTTGGACAAATCACACACGGATAAACTATTTAACATTTATTACTTTGACCTCCTATGAGATTTGACGCATATCCTCAACGACACCCCTTGTGTTTTCAGGCATACCTATTGACCAAATTTTTTAAAATAATAATTTTATCCTTTCCTTTTTTGAAATGCAATATAATATATTATTATAAATATAAGGGAATTACTGACCCTCAAAGTCACTTTTTGACGGTTGGCGAACGGATTTTGGGAAGGTTAAAGTAATTAATGCTAAAAGGTCTATCCGTGTGTAATTTATCCAAACCTTAGAAAAAGTCAGTGTAATTTACCTTTTTTTTAATATAATAGATTATATAGTTTGCAATATTATATATTATCTATAAATTACATTATACATATTAGATATTACGAGTAGTAACAAAGTTAATTATATATATATATATTATTTTTTAATTGTCATTATTGTTGCCTCTATTTTATATGAATGGGTCATAAATATATATCATATTATATAATAAAATAAATGATAAAGTGCAAAAAACCTAGCTGCTAGGGGTGTACAAAAATCCGATCAGATTGAAAATCCAAATCGGACCAGACAGTTTGGTTTGGTTTGGTTTGCTAATGGTTTTGTTCGGTCACGTTTCTAAATTTGTGACACCGTAAAGATACGGTTTGGTCACGATTTGAGATCCTTTAGGATTAAATTAGATCGAACTGAACCGTTATGATATATATATATAAAAGTTAAATTATACAATGTATATAATATCATATAATTCTGCAATCCAAATTAGTTAGAAGTTTGTAGCAACTATCAATCATATGGTCCACTCAAAATTCTCTTAGATCTTATTAATTTATTAGATGATTTTATTTTTAATTTTTTATAGTGGTTGAATTTTGAATTATGTGATTGATTGTTTGTTGTTGAATTAGTAATTCTGAATTTATTCACTACAATTCAGAAGTGATAGAGAAGAATGAATTAAAAGTTCTGAATGTGTTGATAACTTGGTTTATAGTTGTGCATGTGGATTTTGAAATATGAATACTCCAGCAACGAAAAAAAAAAAAAAAAGGAACTGTGAAACTGAATCGAATCAAACCGATTTTTTCACGATTTTGTTTGGTTTGGTTCATTTGATCAAATGGTTTGGTTTGGTTCCAAATTCTATGAATACGTTAGAATTGATTTGGTTCCAAAAAAAACTCTTAAATCGGTCCAAACTGAACCGTGTGCATCCCTGCCTGCTGCTATATAAATTTTTTAATAAGAACCACCCTCGAATTTTATAAAGTGCATATAAATCCCTATATTTTAAAAAAATTGTAGCAAATTGCCCATTGGTCCTCAGTTTTGATCATTTTTTTTTTTTTTTTAATAAAAATTTCAAAAATACCCTTAAGGAAATTTTAGATATTTCTTTTTTAATAAAAAACTAAAATTAAAATAATACATGAATAAAATTTACAAATAAATAATACAGAATTAGAATTTGGGGGAGTTTTATAATTTTTTTAAAAAATGTCCTTATTTATTTTATTCTAATTATTTTTATTATTAGGTTTATTTTATATTTTTTATTATTATTTTTTTTCTTAAGGGCATTTTTAGGTGTTTCAGTTTTTAAATTGAAGAATTGTTCTTATTCACTCCATTTGTAAAATATAGGGGACTATTATTTCATAATACATACTATACACAAATATTAGATTATTATTTCATATTATATAATTATTTATATTTTTATTGTATAGTATAATTTGAATATTTTATAATATTTAATTAAAATAAAAAATATCATATATATTATGTGTTTTATATATAGTATATTATTATATAAAAAATTTATTTATTATAAAATATATTTCTTATATAGTATCTAATTTATTATATAATGTAATGTGTTTAGGTAGTTTTATTTATTTTCAACTTTTAGTATAATAGATCATACAGTGTTATATAGTGGCGTTCAACTGCTCCCTGGTGAGTAGAGAATAGTATACTCACTTTTAATCCTGGTATTAGAATATAATCCTACGGTAATTAATTAATTATTTTTTCTTTTTTATATTTTAGGAAACTTGCTTCTTTTTTTATTACCATTATATATTATTAACAGGAAATGACAAAACTATACACGTTTTTATTGAAAAAAAATTGGCTAGCTTTTCTACTATAGGCATACAAAAATTCCTTCCCATCCGCTCAGCCATAGAAGGGAATTCGCAAAGCATACCAATTAAAAAAAAAAAAAAAATTTATTTCCAATCCCTTCAACCATGGAAGGTTGAAATATAGAAGGCAACCACATCTGAAAAATATAAAATAAAACCAGTAGCGTTTGAAAAAATAAATTCATTCCCTTCGCTACTACCAAGCCAATATAAAAATTCCCAACAGTTCGTCCTTCGCTACTACCAAGCCAATATAAAAATTCCCAACAGTTCGAGTGGCAGTTTTTTTTTTCGCAACCAAGATAAATAAAATTAATTAAAAAGAAATAAGTACTAAGTCCTGTTTTTTTTATTTTTTATTTTTTTTATTTTTATTTTTATTTTTATTTCCTCCCATACTTCATCCATTCTAATGATAAATTATGTAATAAAAATTATGGAAACACATTAACTTTGTCCCTTATCATTGGTGGTTGAAAAAATCGCATAGATTTTGGCAGAGGCATCAGACATCAACTCTTGTTGATTGCATCCATCTTGTAATGCCTCATTTCGTCAATTTATTAAACGATATGCCTTTTGCTGCTATTTTATTTATTTATTTATTGAGACGCCACCGTCTTCTATGTTTGGTCCGGCCACTGCCTTCCTTCTATTTTTCAACCTTCCATGGTTGAACGGATTGGAAATAAATAAATATATACGCGTATAAATACATACTTTTTTTTTTCTTTTTGTATGGTTTGCGAGTTCCCTTCCATGGCTGAATGGATGGAAAGGAATTTTTTTTATGTTTTGGGAATTTCTTAATTAGCCTGGTATACACAAGTTTGTTTTTCTGTATTTTGTTTTCTGTTTTTGAAAGTAACGGCAAACAATATAGAAGAAAAGCCTTGCCTATTTGGTTTTAGTTTATTTCATTTTAAATGTATAGTTTTGTCATTTTCTTAATAATATATAATGGTAATGAAAATAGAAGCAAGTTTCCTAAAATATAAAAAGGAAAAATTGATTAATTAATTACTGTGTAGGAGTAGATTATAAGGTTAGGATTAAAAGTGAGTATATTATTCTTTACTTACCAGGGAGCAGTTGCCACTGTAGCGTTATATTATATTTTTTATGAGTTTTTATAGTACAAGGATAAATGTCACAAAAAACAAAAGTGCATGGGAGTTTTGTGAATTTAACCTTTAAATAACTTCAATGTAGAAGAGTATTTTAATCATTCAAAACTCTAACAGCACTAATTGAGATCTAATAACAGAAATGGATTAATTTCATCATTATGACATCATTTTTTGATCACATAAATTTAGTCGAAAGTGTCCGATCGAACTCTTCATCATTACTCATAAATATAATATGATATTTATTATTATTTTTTTTGTGGTAACTATTTTGTTATGCCCATTGCTTTGTGCGTATGTTATAAGGTTAGAGACGTTGGTAGGACTAAAGGCACGTACATTCTCTGTTTGGATCTGCCTCCCAATACCTCACTTTAATTGGACTTATAAAAGACAGCATTATCTTCTAAGGGGAGACTTGTCACAACACAATAAATTCATTGACTGCTACTGAATGATATATTTCTTCTTCGGACTTGATCATATGGCAACTCAGTTGAATTAGACAAGAATTTCAAATGAATTAAAGATCATAACACGTGAGTAGTGATAGATTATGCCTAATTTAAATTTTATAACCAAAATCTCAATGAGAATTTTTTTTGGAGCTTTTAGTCATTGCTTCAATCGTCTATTGTAACAGGTAGGCTCTTACTCATTTATTAAAAAATTTAAGTTATTGAATAGTATTGCACACCCATCAATTTATACTTATTTCACTTCATATTCGGATCCGATGTGGTACAAATACTCTTTGTAACATTTTCCCCCACCCGAACACCTATACGGGTGGGCTCGCTCAGACGCCTCCAGGCCAGGCTATTGGCGTGACACCAGATCAAGGAATAGATTTGGCTCTAATTCCAATTGTAACAGGTAGGCACTTACCCATTTACGAAAAAACTTAAACTATTTTGTAGTGCTGCATTTCCATCCATTTATACCTATTTCACTTCCATAAAATAAATACTCCTTATAACACCTATACAGTTGAGTTAGGGGCGGAGCTAGAGGGGGGCAGCAGGGGCCATGGCCCCCCCAAAATTTTTGGAAATTTTTTTAATTATTTTTTTCATAAATAGAAATTTTTTTTATTACCTCTTAATTGTTAATTAATTTGTAAATTTTGCCTTTAAATCTATTAAAATTTTTAATTGGCCCTCTCAATATTTTTAACACATATATTGACCAGCCAATTTTTTTGAAAATTCTATTAATAGCCCCTAAATATTAATTAATTTGTAAATTTTGTTCCTAAAATTAATTAAATTTCAATTGGCCCCCAATCTTTTTCAAAACACATATATTGACCCAAAATAAAGAGTTTGAAAATAAATTTAATTTGTTTCTCCTTAAAATTTAAATATTTTTCAACTTGCACTCTTTTAACCATACTTTTAAAAGCTCAAATATTATGAAACCAAAATTTAAGCTCATTATTACTATAGTCATTTTTTTTCTTGGTAAATAATTATTATAGTTGTTATCTCAACACATTGTTATTTTATTTATAAATACAGGTACAATATCTATAATATTAATTCAAGAGAGAGATAAAAAAAAGGAATAAAATAATTAATGTTCCCTCATGCGAAAAATGCATGAAGCATTTTTTGTAAACATTTTTGTAAAATGGTATTTACAAGAAAAATATCTAAAATTATATAACAATCTTTATTGGCAAGTCATAAGAATATTTGGAAAAAAGATAAACTAAAGTATTGTGAGACTCTCAATAACAATAATAAAATCATCTATCTACTTTTAATTATTACTTTCTAAATAACAAATTTTATAACTATTTGTATCTTGTTTAATAACTCAATAATAATATTGTTGATTTTTTTTTTTTTTTTGCTAAAAATTGAGTTAAAATTCATTATGTTGTCGAATTGTGGAATCGACTTAATTTTCTTCTTCCAAAAATTATATTTTAAAAAAATTAAAACAATTAATAAAAGAAATTTGATTTTCTAACAATGCTTATTTCTTTACATTTCTTCTCCATAATTTTCTTCTAACATCATTTTTTTTTTTTTTTTTGTCCAAGTTGTATTTTTTTCATTTTTGAATTTTCTCAAGATATATATATATCTTATCATGACTAGTATTTAAAAATAAATTATATTACAATTGATTTATAAATTTTTTTTATATAGTTCAAATCCGGTTCCCCAACCTTAAATTCTTGGCTCCGCCCCGAGTTGAGTAACCCATGACATTCATGAAAGTGTAAATGAATATTAGAAGTACATTTTAGCTTTTGATGTCACTAAATTACGTAAATGACTGTTAGAAAGGATTTTGTAGCATATCATGGATAGCGTTATTTTTGCTAATTGTCAGGAAAAAGTAAGCGTGATTTATTTATTTATTATTATATATATTCTCTTGAAAAAAACTCACACACTCATGTATATTTTATATTTTATAACAAATTTGTTATCTTATTTTTATATTTATATGCTTGTACAAAACATTAACTTTTCGTCATACCAAGTATTTTATTCTTACATTTCCGGGGGAAAAAAAATGCATTTTATTCTTGTTTTTATACACCAAAAAATTTCTAGAATCCCTGCTTAATTAGGAGTAAATATCTTGTAAGCATTGTGCTATCATTGTTTTGTCAGGAAAACAAGTCAGAGAAAATCTTAGTGGAGGAATACAGAGCTTCATATATTATCATGTAAGTTCTTCATTATTCCCAGTATCATAATTTGAATTCTGCATATTATAACTTTGAGAAGTCCCCAACTTTTTGTGCCATTTAAACAAATTCAAGGCCACTTTGTGCACACTTCATTTCAGATTATTTTTAATATTATTTTTTATCTATTTTGTTATTATTATTATTTATTTATTTTTTTAAAGTGAAAAACTTAAGGAACAAAGTACAAATAAACAATTAATAATGATAAAATGACATCATATGGAAATTTTTTATTTTTTTTCCAAGGCAAGGTATTTGTTATTCCATGGGCTACTAAAATATTGTCGGTAATCAATCTGCCAGGAACAAAAGCACTTTGTTCCTAACTAATGATTGATGACATTAATGGTTTTAGCCTATTAGCCAAGACCTTAGTAAATATTTTAATAATAACATTACATAGAGAGATTGGGTGAAAGTGACAGATTTTTGTTGGTACCTTTACTTTCGGAATGAGAACAATATTGGTCGCATTAAGGCTCTTGTCAGGCTGGCCGCTATGAAGAAAGTCGTTAAACACTTGTAGAATATCTATTTTGATGACAAGTAACTCTAAAAGAAAATGGGGCTTAAACCATCAGGACCTAGTGCTTTAAAAGCCCCCATATATCTCCATAACAGCTTGATACAATTCAAATTCTATAGCATCCTGCAACAAACACTCGTTCATCTCGTCTGTAATTTTCCATTGCCAGAGATCCTAAAAAGACCCATGCACATCAACTCCATCCAAAATGAAAAGATTTTGAAAAAATCTCTTAGCAATATTTCTAATTTGTGTTTCATTAGAGCACCAAATCCCATCTTCATCTTCCAATCCCCCTATAGCATTCCTTCGACGACGTTTCAAAATGGACAAATGAAAAAATTTGGTATTGCGATCGCCTAACTTCAACCAATCAATTCTGGATTTTTGTTTCCAGAACAATTCCTCGGCCTTCCATGTCTCTCCTAATTCCTTCTCCATTTTATAATACTCAACAGAATTGAAATTTCCTTGTTGCTCCTTCAGTTGCTTCAATTGATTCTCTAGTTCTAGAATCTTGAACTGTGAATTCCACTCGACATCATATGGAATTGATTTGTTACTTTTGTTTATTGGGAATGAGTACTATTACTCTTTCAATTTATATCCATTATTATTGCAAGTTTACGTAATTCCCGCAGTCAAAATCATTTTATCAAACAAGCAAATTACTATAAACAATCATTTCTCACTTGATTTCCTAATTATTTGATTCTAAACATAAGGTCCTAGACCATGAACTCTGTAGCAGCAAAAAAAACATGGTTCGAGCGATTAGGATTTCTCAAAACAATATTGTTTAATATATCTATATATATATATATACACACAACACACATGGTTCAAGTACCTAGGATGGTGAAGATTTGGCACTTGAGATTTGGGCACTTGAATTTTAGAGGACTACAATTGTTGGCCAAAAAGAAGATGGTGAAGGGATTGCCTTTCATTAGCAATCCAAATCAATTATGTGAAGGATGTCTCGTTGGAAATAAAAACAAGGAAATTTTTTCCTAAAGAAGCTACCACAAGAACTACAACGAAAATCTTCACATTCCAATTTCTCCATCATCACCACTATAACTCATCCACTCATATGTTTGTGGTTCAATTTCTCCATCATCATTTGGTAAGAATAATTATTTTTTATTATTCATTGATGATTTTAGCCGAAAAACATGGGTGTATTTTCTTAAACAAAAATCGGAGATGTATGGAATTTTTAAGAAATTTAAGGAACTTGTTGAAAAACAAAGTGACTATGATGTAAAGGCTTTCCGATCCGATAGAGGTGGTGAATTCACATCAAATGACTTGAAAACAATTTGTGAAGAAAATGTAATTCACCATTATTTAACGGTTTCATTAATTCGGTAGCAGAGGAGAAGGTCGATAAGGAAGAAGTGATAGTACAGATTATTTTGTTTAATTTCATTAATTCGGTAGCAGAGGAGAAGGTCGATGATGTCAAGGTTGAGGCCCCTGTCACGATTCAAGAGCAGGAGGACTGAAATTACCTTAAGGAAGTTAGGGTTAACCTGTAGAGGGCAAAGCCCCAATTTGTTGAAAGCGTAACAAAAGAATGGGTGTAAGGGGAACCTAACGACGTTCAAATGGACGGCAGAGAATAAGACCTCCCCAAGAAGGAGACCCTCACCAGATCTCCCATCTAAATTTGTTGGATAAACCCTGAGAGAGACGTTATTAGGAATGCTATTCTAGAAGGGGAGCCATAAAGAAGGGGAGGAGTCCTTGGCAGTAAATGTGTCTTTTTCAAATAGAGTGGTAAAAAAAAAAAAAAACTGACCTTGAAAGTTTGTGATGTATACAGCAACAGCACAGTAGCTAAAATCGTGAAGGAAAAACTTACCGAAGAAATTGAAGAAGGATCGCCGGAAAGTACAGGAAGGCAACGGAGAATAAAAGCAAGGTATGTTAAAGGAAGATAAAAGTTGAAAGGATCAGGGTTTTTAAAGAGAAGAGGTGAAGGCGACACAGAATTCAAAAGGTCAAGGCAAAAAGTGGCCAACAGATCTCAAAGTTTGGGTTTTTGTGCCAGCCGTTCGATTCCTCGTGTCATCGCTCCGAGCCGTTAGACCAAGATTGTGTCTTTTCAATAATCTCACCCTCATTAATGAGAGGAGAGATTATTGGGGGCAGATGAAGACACCAAAAATGACCCGGGCTTGGTATGATTCGTATTGTTAAGAACAAGTCGGGTATGGATGGCCAGGATGGAGCAAATCCACGCTGAATGGGCCCAGATCCAAGAAGTCATTGCAGAAGCCCATGTTAAGAGGAAAGAAGTCGAGTCCAGACAAAATAGAACAAGGCCCAACTCAGAGGTGGGTATAACCGTCTATAAATGAGGGAGATTGAGAGGAAAAAGTGATTGAAGATTATTGGAAGTGTAAAATTTCTCTCTCTAGAATTGAGAAAAAATTCTTTGTACTTTCAATGTGCTATAATATATATTGAATGTACACCTACCGAGTCAACCAGATTTTGGTCAGTTGATGCCAGCTAAGAAAAATGATAACGAAATGAGCACAAAAACCTTTCTATAATGCTAGCGTGCGCGCGCGCGCATTAGATAGTTTTGGTCTCAAACTTATCAGTCAAATTTTGCTTGACTTATTTTCGCAGCGTGAAATTGTCCTTTGTTTTTGGGTTTCAAGAAACCAGAGACTTGAACTCTCATTGTTTACTTTGTAACATATGATTTAATTCATATAAAGTTAGGAGAGAGATTGTAAAAGTAACAAAATTTAAATTATATAAAGTGAAGTGTAATTGTGAAAATAAGAAATACAAAACAAGAGAGCACGCGAAACATAAGAGCGCCACCAATTTAAAAGAATTACGCGATCGAATTATCATATAATTGCTAAATGACGCATTAATTTCCACGTTAAGCATGCATTGGTTAGTAAGTATACATAAAATTCTATATTTTATGCCCAAAATTTCCAATGGCATAAATTTATTTTAAAACTCTCTTCAAACATATAAAACAAAAATCAAAGATGATCAAAATATTTCAGATTATTCTCTTCATTTCTCGAATAAAATTTGACATCACTAAATGGTACGTACCATTGGAAACAAATTTGAAAAGTCTCAATTATATATGTTAAGATCTACAAGAAATAAATTTCACAGTTCGCTTTACATTGTAACTTCCTTTCACATTGAAAGTCAAATTAACAAAGAACTATACCCACATGCATAGTAATTTCCTTTCACATTGGAAGTTTGAAGGCATTAATCAAATCAAGATCGCATTCGATGCTTTGAAGTCAATCGAACGACTTCAAGGAAACACGTCTTTGTTTAATCAGAAAAACAAGTCAGAATAAAAATGTATTTTATACATTCATGTCTTCCAAGAAAACTAAGTCTTTTGTTTAACCAGAAAAACAAGTCTAATCTAAAATGTATTTTATACCTCATTTTGTTTAGTGAAGGTCATTAATGGTAGATCTTGTAACATCATCTATTGCTAATGAGAAGAAATTGCGTATGATACCATAAGCTATTCGATCTGTGTATTTTGAAGATAATAATTTTTACAGCAAAACACTTTTCAAAATGGTGTACATGTAAAATACATTTTTTTTTTTTTTTTTTTTTTTTTTTTTTATCACTAGTTGAACACTTTTCAAAATGGTGTATACGGATCTCTCATAATTCAAAGAAATTCACTCTCATAAACCCTCTCAAGTTATCTCATTAGGAATAAGATGTCTTTCCTTTACAAGCGACAGTAACAAGGCACGTGTTATGTGTAGCATTAAGTTGTCAAAAATAAGTTACAGAAATTATAACTGTAATTCATTTCTGATTTGTTAATAAAAAGTTCATTACACAAAGTAGTTTCCGATAATTGTGACTGTTTCGAGGGATAGAATGCATTCAAAACTAGCCTTTGACATTTTTAACCTTTTAATTGAATATATTTTACTACTAAAAAAAGCATTTTACCCAATTTTGAAAGAGTAACCAAGTATTAAAAAAATAAAAATTTAATGTAAAATAAAAATAAAAATAAAAATCCTATAGGACCCTCACAAACCATATTAGTTCATATTAGAAGTTGGGTGGAATATTTTAAATTTCTGAAGGTAGGTAAAGCTCAGGAAAGATGATGTGAAACCCAGACTAACCTAGTAATATGCAATTATTGAACACCAAACTTCCTACTAAATATATATATATATATATATATATATATATATATATTCGCAGTTATCAACCTAGCTAGTGCCTCATGGACATGACGTGTTGAAGAAGACTTTTTTGTTTTTTTTCAAGGTATTGTTGAAATAAACCTTAATATTTTAAAAGAACAAAGGAATAAAGAAAACACAAATGTTAGGTGTCACTGCCAATAAATGAGTAATTTTTTCTTCTTGGTTCCTGTAATTAGGCAATTAGTTTACTTTCTCTGAAGAGAAAAATTTCAGTGGAGGAATAGAGATCTTCACATCAAGTAAGTTCTTCAACACATTTCTTTCTCTTTTCGCATTAACCTCCATCTATAAGCGATTTACTTTTATAAGTGTTTTAGTTATCTTCTTCTTCTCCAAATAAAATTGAGCAAAGTAGCTTCCAATAAGTACGTGTTTTACTTTTATGTGTCTATAAGTAATTGTTTTAAGTCTGATGCTTTTTTCCAATGTATCTTTCATCTTGCCTTCACAATAACAGAAAAAAAATCATTGATGGATATAATATCTAATCATATTTTCGAAAATTAGATACTCTGTCTTATAATGTTCATTCACTATTCTGTGTGATCAACTGGCTCCTTTAATTAATTAAAAGATATATTCCTAACTTCTCATTAATTTTTTCGTTAATAATCTCTTAAATTTGGTGCTCACATTCCTCATTCAGGCACTGGATCGAAAGGTTAGAATATGAGTTAGTGAAAACTAAATTTTATATATATATATTTTATGGTAACATCTTTTAGAGGCAATTGCTTTGTGCATATGGCAAAAGTTGTCTCAAAATTTTTTTTTTCCTTTTTTTTTTTCATCTTAAAATTGTGTGTCATGCTCATATATGATGTATGTGTTGTAACCCTCTTTCTCCCTTTGTTTTTTTCTCCTCTTCTTCTGCTTTCAATTTATTACTGTAATTTTATGGACTTAACGTATGTGATTTATATATTTTTCAATTTTTCTTTACTTTATTATTATTTTTTATTTTGTGAACAATGACATATTATTTAAATCTTGATCATTAAATAGTTATTGCACTTTTAGTTTTCGATTTTGTTACGTTGTTACATTATTAATCGTCACGCTAGTTGATAAAAAATATATATAACATGCCCCCTAAAACTAAATTCTTGGTTAGGCAAGTACATTTTCAGGATTTTCTATATAATATGCCCCCTAAGGGAATATTACATATAAATGATTCTAATGACTCATATTTATTATTTGATAGAGCCAAAATCTCATAGTAGTTTTGAAAAAATGAACACATGAAAAAACATTATTTATCCTCTCTCAGGTATCACTTTTAGACACATAGGTACTACTTTTTGTCATTAAATATCACTTTTTGTGTAACACAAAAAGTGATATTTATGTGCCTAAAAGTGGTACTTCAGTAAAGGTTTTTTTAAAAATTATGAGACTTTAACTTCATTAAATAGTAAATATAAATCATTTTATATGTAATAATCCCTTTATGAAAAGTGTAAACGAATACTATAAGTACATTTTAACTTCTGATGTCACTAAATTACGTAAATGACTGTGACAAAGGATTTTGTAGTATTTGATGTTAGCAATTAGGAAAGTTAGATTAATTTTTCAAAGTCAAAAATCATGGATAGCATTATTTTTGCTAATTGTCAGGAAAAGTAAGCGTAATTTATTTATTTATTTATTATCATTATATATATTCTCTTGAAAAAAAACTCACACACTCATATATATTTTATATTTTATATTTTATAACAAATTTGTTATCTTATTTTTATATTTATATGCTTGTACAAAACATTAACTTCTCAACATACCAAGTATTTTATTCTTACATTTTCAGGAAAAAAAAATGCATTTTATTCTTGTTTTTATACACCAAAAAATTTCTAAAATTCCTGCTTAATTAGGAGTAAATATCTTGTAAGCATTGTGCTATCATTGTTTAATCAGGAAAACAAGTCACAGAAAATCTTAGTGGAGGAATAGAGAGTTTCATATATTATCATGTAAGTTCTTCATTATTTCTTCAACGCTTATATATTTCCTATTCTTGCATATGTCTCTCCATTCGCACTGACTTCGATCTATATATAAGGGATTTACGAATTAAAATTCCAATATCATAATTTGAATTATGCATATTATAACTTTGAGAAGTCCCCAACTTTTTGTGGCATTTAAACAAATTTAAGGCCACTTTGTGCAAACTTCATTCCAGATTATTTTTATCTATTTTGCTATTATTATTATTTTTTTAAAAGTGAAAACTCAAGGAACAAAGTAATGGAAAACAAATGGTATGTTGACAGGACAAATTTAAGGCCACTTTGTGCAAACGGAATGTACATTATTGCACACGTTGTTATATTATAGATCATTTTTCCATATCTTACTTGAAGCATGGGATTTTATTTTATATCTTGATGATTAATAATAGGCAATTTTATATTGAACAGAGAATTGTAGAACATGGAATCTGCTAGCATTGTAGAACATGTTTCCATTAGCATCGATGAAAAGCTTGCCCGCCACTCTGGTTTGCCTCGTGAGCGTTGCATTTTCAAAGTGCATGAAAAGCTACGAAAGTTAAACCCAGATGCATATGAACCAGCAATTCTTGCAATTGGTCCGTACCACCGAGGAAAAATTAATCTCCAAGGGATGGAAGAGGTTAAACTGCAGTACCTAAAATCACTTCTTGTACGAAAGGAGGAGACAAGCGCAGAGAGATACGTACTTGCAATGAGGGAATTGGAGGAAAAGGCACGAAAATGTTATGCAGAACCCGTAGGCCTCACTTCAGATGAATTCGTGGATATGATGCTTCTTGATGGCTGTTTCATCATTGAACTGTTCTTGAAGTTAACCGATGTTGCAATAGATGAAAATGACCGTATTTTTGGAACATGTTGGATGGGCTACTTCTTACTGCTTGATTTGATCTTATTCGAAAATCAACTTCCCTTTTTCGTTCTTCTCAAATTGTATGCCTTGATTGAGGGTACTAAACCAGAGGAGTTCGTTTACATTGCATTGAATTTCTTTGCCTTCTCAAATCAAAATCTAGGCAAACCTAGAATATTGGATATGAGTTCTATTCAAGAAGTCCAGCATTTACTTGACTTACTACACCGTAGTAGATGTCCTGATCCATTTGTAAGGACTGAGAAAAGAAAGGGAATTAAATGGGGGCGCATACAATGTGCATCTCAACTTGAGAAGGCCGGAATTAAGTTCAAGAAAACTGAAGACAGCAACTTGTTTGATATTACATACTCTAATGGGACACTAAAAATCCCAAATTTGACCATTGAAGAGAAAACAGAGCCCTTCTTCAGAAACCTCATTGCGCACGAGCAGTATGGTGATAGTACAAATTTACACTATATCACCCATTATTGCTTCTTAATGGATTATCTGATTGACGACCAAGAGGACGTTAGTTTACTGCAACGTGATGAAATTATCACAAACTGTCTGGGTGGTGATGAAGTGGTTTGCAACATGTTCAATAAGCTTTGCCACAATCTCATCATCAATGACGATCTTTTCAGCTATAACAACATTTTGGATGATGTGAGAACGCATTGCAGGAAACGTCGGAATATCTGGATGGCAACGTTAAGGCGTGATTATTTCAATAGTCCATGGGCACTCATTTCGTTTCTTGCAGCCTTTGTCTTGCTTGTGCTTACAATCACACAAACGGTATTCGCTGCTCCTTAAATTCGATCATCAAATATCCTAGGTTTCTTTATGTTGTCACTTTTTGTATATAATCCCAAATATGTATGTATAATCTTTTACGTTAACCATTTGGAGCAATAAAATCCCTGAGCGGGGTATAGATGTGTATGAAAAGGTGTATATGTTGAACTAGTTACAGGTCAAGTTCTTTCATAATCACTATCAAGGAAAATTAAATTCAGGGAAATTAAACTTCTATCCTGTGTAATTCTTCTCTATATCATCTGGCAACCAACTAGTAATTAAATTGAAGTCTTTGTTTTTTTTCTATTCCTTTTTAGGTGATCAATTTGAAGGTTCATTTGAGTATTTATTTTTGGACATAGGCTAGACCTACAAGGGATTCAAGGGAGACCACAACAAAATGAACCTAACAGGGCCAAACGCTTGCCGTATAACTAATAGCATTTAAAACAGTCATAGAAGTATCTCTGTATCTATCGACCACACTAGCGAGGGATCAGGAGAGGGTAATCTTGATATGAGGGAGCTACTAGGGACTCAGGAAATTATGTAAGGTTAGGGCCATGTTGTTGGGGGTAATATTTAGGTTTTTTTTTGTAATTTCAGTGGGAACAAATCTAAAATTTTATAAGTACTTAATATAAATATTAATAATAATAATTTAGTAAGAGAAATTGCCCCTATTTATTCTCATTTTATGTGACTTAAATTTTATAACTTCCACACTTTCGTTATAGAATTGATTTTGACTCCTGCTACCGTTATGTGTGACTTAAGACCAAACTCAAACGAATTGAAAAGTCTTAATTATGTTAAGCTTTACAAGTAAAATTCTTCATAGTTCACCTTGTGATGGTTTAAATCTTATCAATCACCCGTATGCATGGTGACTTCCTTTTTCAAAGACTTCGAGGAAACAAATCAACATTTAATTAAGCAGGAAGAAAAGTCAGATCTTAAATGTATTTTATACACTTATTTTATTTAATAAAGGCCATTAATAGTGGATCTTATAACAGGTCAAGTGATAATGAGAAGAAATTCAATATGATAATGTAAGCTGTGTTTCGCCACTAACATAAAAAGCAAATGACCCATTGGTCTACAAGTTGAGCATAAATTACAGAGTGTTGGTAATTTTACATAAAATTCTATATTGTTATGCCCAAATTTACTAATGGGTGCAGAAAGTCAAAATCAGTACTAGGGCCTTTGATGCATTTACTTCAAAAATCTCTTCAAACATTTATAACAAAAATAAAAGTTAGCTTAGCTATAGGTAGTGCTGCATACCCATTTAAATATATTCTATTTGGATTTGACGTGAGATAAACTCTTTTTAACATTCTCTTATACTCGAACTTGCAACGCCCTTGTTGTGTTTTTTTTTTTTTTTTTTGAACAATAGCATACTATTTGAATCTTGATTATTAAATAGTTATTGCACTTTTAGTTTTGGTTTTTGTTATGTTGTTACATTATCAATTGTCATGTTAGTTGAAAAATATATGTAATATGTCCCTCTAAAACTAAATTTGGGCTAGACATGTACATTTTCTGGATTTTCTTCCCATGACCTCACATTGGAATAAACTCAGATCATAAATGTTTTCTATGAGCAAAGCATTAGCCCAAAAATTATTCACCGAAGCTTAAGAAAAAAATATGTTCACTAATGTTTCTGATAGATTTTTTTATTATTATTTTAAAATGGACAAATGATATGTGATCTGACAAGATCAGTGATGCTGATATTAAGAAGGTCGACTAAATACTGGCTCCATGTCTTTACTTCAAGCATGATAATTCTACTATATCTTGATAATTAATTGAAGGCACTTTGTGTATTGAACCATGTTCAACAAGCTTTGCTACAATATCGGCATGAATCCTGATCTTTTCAGCTATGGTAACATTTTGGATGATGTGAGAACGCATTGCAAGAAAAGTCCGAATATCTGGATGGCGACTTTAAGGCGTGATTATTTATTTCAATAGTCCATGGGCACTCATTTCGTTTTTTGCAGCTTTTGTATTGCTTCTGCTTACTGTCATACAAACGGTATTTGCTGCTCCTTAAATTCGATCATCAAATTTGTCACTTTTAGCACATAATTGTATAAACTTTCATCTTAATCACAAACGGTATTTGCTGCTTCTTAAATTCGATCATATGGATGTGTATTAAAAGGTGCCTATTGAACTATTTGCAGGTCAAGTTCTTTCATGATCACTATTAAGGAAAATTTAGGAAAATTAAACTTGTACGCTGTATGCCTGTGTGGTTTTTCTTTATATCATGTGTTAAAAAGTGAGTAAATTAGTCCCTATAGTTTCAAAAGTGAACAATTTGCCCCTTACATTTTACTTTCGACCACTTTTTTTTCCATATCGTGATGTACATGATTGATATTTTTTGGTTAGTTTCGAAAGTACCCTCCAATATGACCGTTATACCCCTATCTACTTAAACAAAAAAGTTTTTGCATTCCTTTGTTTCAATCAAACCTATTTTTGTTCCCTTCTTTCCATTTGCATCTGCGCTCTATATGCTCTCCTCCAAAGTCAATTCATTTAAACATTTAACTATATATATGTGTGTGTGTATTTCTTTTAGTTATGTCTTTTCTAAAAGAGAGGGTTTACCTGGATGAACAAACCCTTGATCCAAAAAAGAGCATACAAGGCTGTTGGGCCCACAACAATTGCTCAAGCTTCCTTATTTGGACTGGACTGTGGTGAGTTCTTAAAAAAACAAAAAAACGCACCCTCTTTCCAGGACCAGAACTTGAGTCTGGCGCCTTAGACCACTCGGCCGTCCTAACTTGCATGCATTGTTTTTCCATTAGAATTAGACTATCATTTTCTAATTAGCCCAATATAATTTTGATTGTCCTAACAAGTTTGATTGGGCCAGCTCTCCAATATGCTAGCCAAGCCCAAAGGTAAGGTCCACTACATGAATTCTTTTTTTCTTTTTTTTTTTTTTTTTTTTTTTTTTTTTTTTCCTTCGAAAATATAAGCAAACTGTATTAATAAAATGTCATGTCCACTTTTCTTATAATGTTCTCTGATACAAGCACTGCCTGTATCACTTACCTTCAATGTGTCTTTGCTTAATTTTTAGTGGGATATGCTCATTTACAAGGGTTAGATGCAACATCCAACCTAAGTTTCGACATAAAATACTTTCTGTTTTAAGTAAAATATATTTTTTATTTTATTTTTGGGTGTAAAATAATTTGTTAAAAGTTGACGTGTAAGTTATTTTTGTTAAGTTTTCATAAAATATTTACTTAAATTTTTGACAACCAAACACTAAAAAATAAATAAATATTTTAAAAAATATTTTACATCCAAATAAATAGAGCCTAAATGAAAAATCATGAACATGATCTAATTGGTTATATATAATTTTCAGAGGTAGCTTAAAGACAAAACTCTAATCTTGCACCTTAGAATTTGAAAGTTCGAATTCTTTTGGAAATTAGAAAATGTTCCAATAATTGGCACAAAATGGCCAGTGGTAAGGGGCGGAGCCAAAATTGCATATGGATCAGGCTAAGAGAAAGAGTAATATTGCATATAGACCAAGCTAAGAGGAAGAGTAGTATTGCATATGAACTAGATTGTGGACTGATGTACAGTAAAACTAATTTGTATTTTTTTGGGGGGAAAAATCACTAAACCCCCTCTACTTTCATTTTTAATCAAATTGCCCCCACTAAAATTAAACACCCCCCTCAACTTTAAATTGTCATCACATTGCTCCCTTTCCGTTCAAACCTGTTAACCTGGCGTTTGGTTAGTAGTGCATGACCAACACGTGCTTATCAAAAAAAAAATTTCTCTAAAATACCCCTTCCCTGTCCTCTATTTCACCATGGAGGGTTAAACAAGGTATTAAATTTAAAACAGTAATCTTTTTCTTCTTCGTCCCTCTCTCTCTCTACCATTCTCTTTCTAAAACCAGACCCATCAAAGAAACAGAGCAAGCATGGGCCAAACCTGCACCTTCTGATTAACAAGTCAATTAAATAAAAGGGGCGCCTGCTGATTAAGAAAGCCAAGGTCTTATGCCGAGAATCTAATTCCACCAATGGATAAGATATCTGAAATGAACAAAAATTGGTAGTTGAGCTTTGGCCGGCGTCCATGGAGTTTGATGATGTTGAAGCTTTTGGTTTTGACAATGGTGAAGCTTTCTGGTCTCTCCCTTTTTCTTCTCTCTCTAGCTTGTTCCATTGATGTACCTTCAGCCATTTTTATACTCAGTCCATGAAACCCAAAATTACATACCATTTTTATACTCTTTTGCCGGAAGAGCTGAAAGAGTGATGGTGATCAGAATTTTGTTTTTATTTTTTGGTTTAAAGAATTTTACTTATTCCTTTGGTTGGTTTCTAAGAAAATTAAGGAAAGTGAAGAGTAATATAATTTTATTTACTGGGTCTGTTCTCTGATGTTGTTTTGGTCTCAGATTATAAATCTAATTTTTGTGTTTTTTGTTAAATTTCAAAATTGTGCAGATGCATCTTCCTTCCTTTACAGATCAAAGTCCCAGATTTGTTACACCACAAGATGAGACTCATTAGCAACCAAACTCAACATTGTGAAATTCCCAAGTTAGCTTTGAATCTCAGCTCCAATTTTACTACCACCCCAGCACATAGTTGTTCGTCACTATCCCACAAGAGAACCCTCCACCGGAGGTGATCGAATTGAACTTCGACGCCACCTCTGTTTCTTCCACAACACCAAAACGCAGGGAACAATGGTGACAAATAAGCAAAGGAAAGAGACGGTGGCGGAACTTTTTGTTTTTTTCCTTGTTAAGTTGCTGCAATATACGATCACTTCCCACTCCAATTTGCTTTCCCATTTTGTATTAAGTTGCTAACGGTGGAGTCTGGATCGGCATAAATACCCAGAAGGTCAATCTCCAGCTCCCTGTCAACATCATCAGGGGTAGAACCAGTCTGACCCTGACCTGGAACACAATCGGCATAACCCTCTCGGAACCCCTGAGCATATCTGAGGGCCCCAACTCTGGAAAACCGAGCATGCAGAGCTAGCATACCACCATTTACCCTACTAATGGTGTCGAGTAAAGCACTGCGCTCGTCCAAAGCCTTTTTCTCAAAGGTCAT